GTGGAGGTTGCAATGAGCCAAAATTGTACCACTGCATTCCGGCCTGGACAGAGCAAGACTTCATCTCAAAAAATAAATAAATACATTTTACTGGCCAATCATTTTCAAAAACCATAGCCATAAGTTTTTGTACCTAAAGGGTAACTGGAGCACCACACCAGGGCAGGCTCAACAATTCATCTTTATATCTCCAGAACCTCAGCACAGAGTCCAGCCCACAGCAGGTGCCCAGTGAATACCTGACGATGAAAGGAATCAGAGGAAAATACAAATCAGACAGAACAGCTGTGGAAAATGCACACTCTCTCAGGAACAGCAGAAATCCAAAGCAGATACCACCTCCACCCCCACATTACCAGCCAGACCTAGAGAGAGTGATCACCTTGAATGACAGTGATGAACACAGTGCTCCCTATTTGCTAGGCACTGTGCCAAACTATATATGCCTTAACTCATCTTAATGTCTACAAGAGCTTTTATGAGGGCTTTAAACCAGGGCTTGGCAAACTACTGCCCATGGGCCAAACCTGGCCCATCATCTAGTTTTGTGTAGCCCACAAGCTAAGAATGGTTTTTACATTTTTAAGTGGTTGAAAAAAATCAAAATATTTTGAGACTGTGAAAACTGTATGAAATTCAAATTCCAATATCCACAAATAAAGTTTTATTGGAACATGGCCAAACTGACTATTTATTTACACTGTAGCTGCTTTTGCTCTACCACACACACAGCCGAGTGGTCATGGCAGAGACTATGGCACCTTGATTTGCACTGCTGCTTTGCATACTACAAGTCACAGTGACACAGTCATAAATGCTTCACAGCATTTTGAGCATCTCATGTCACCTATCATTAGCTATCTGTGTCAAAAGATGTTTTCAAAGATGAAATACATGAAATCTCTACAGATCAGCATGAACATGAATATCTACAATCAAATTTGACCATTTGGAACACTAACTTTGTACATCAATTAGGCAAAATGTTATCCTCAAAAAGAGAAATTCAGTTCTTCCCATTAGTAGCTCTGTATTACAAAAATATCAAATTTGATTATTTTTATTATTTTGAGACAGGGTCTCTCTGTTGCCCATGCTAGAGTTTTTCCTCACCCCAAAAGTGGAAATATGAGTGTACAGTTCAAAGGTCCATAGACTTTTTCTGTAAAGTGTCGATAGTAAACATTTTATGCTTTGCTGATAAGAGGTAAACATCAAAGGGTACTATGGAAGAATTTAAATACCAAGAGAAAACAAATTATCACAATTACTATTTTTTTTGAGACGGACTCTCACTCTGTTGCGCAGGCTGGAGTGCAGTGGCATGATCACAGCTCACTGTAGCCTTAACTTCCTGGGCTCAAGTGATCCACCTCAGCCTCCTGTGAGCTGGGACTACAGGCATGCACCACCACCCCTGACAAATTTTTATATATTTCATAGAGACAGAGTTTTGCCATGTTGCCCAGATCAGTTTCAAACTTCCGGGCTCAAGCAATCTGCCCACCTCAGCCTCCCAAAGTGTTAAGACTATAAGCATGAGCCACTGTGTCCAGCCTCATGTTATGTTTAATTTTATGACTTAAAAATTTGTGGGCTGGGCACAGTGGCTCACACCTGTAATCCCAGCACTTTGGAAGACTGAGGTGGGCAGATCACCTGAGATCAGGAGTTCAAAACCAGCCTGGCCAACATAGTGAAACCCCATCTCTACACACAAAAAAATACAAAAATTAGCCGGACATGATGGCGAGTGCCTGTAACCCCAGCTACTTGGAAGGCTGAGGCAGGAGAATCCCTTGAACCCGGGAGGCAGAGGTTACGGTGAGCTGAGATCGCACCACTGCACTGCAGCCTGGATGTCAGAGTGAGACTCCATCTCAAAAAAAAAAAAAAATTATGATAATTCGGTTCCTCTTGGTATTTAAATACCTACATAGTACCCTTTGATTTTACCTCTTATCAGCAAAGTATAAAATATTTACTATCTGACACTTCACAGAAGAAGTTTGTGGACCTTTGAACTGGACACTCATATTTCCACCTTTGGGGTTAGGAAACTGTGGCACACAGGTTATGCAATATGCCCATGCTTACAAGGCCCATCAGTAGTAACACTGTGATCTAAACCATGTCATCCTGGCTATAGAGTCTGTGCTCCTAAAGCACCTGCCTTCCACACGTTTCTGCCCACCTGTGACTCCCAGTATCTCATCCCACCAGTGACTTACGTGCCTGTAGAATCCACTGCCAGAGCCCGGACCCCACCACGATGACAGAGAATCTTTGCCAGTGGCTCCTTCATAGCTGGACTCCATAAAGACACAGTACCTGGAAGGGAATAAGAACCAAAGTTGCTAATATAAACCTAACCCTGAGGTTATTAAACCTGGGAAAGATGGGAACTCAAGACCAAGAGATAATAAAAAAGGAAAATAAAAGGGTACCTTTAAGGTAACTCATGAAGTACAAATATAAAGAAAAGCAAGTCAGGATGGTCAGGGTCAAAACTAAGCCAGGGACTGACCATTGCTGTGTCCGAGATGGATGACGGCATTGTAAGGGTTCTGACTCATAACATCAAGCCGCCCAGCTCGAGCATTCAGAGCTGCCACGATCTTCCCCACTGACACATCCAGGTAGGTTAGAAATCCTGTTTCTGACTGAAAGAGAGAGACAGAGAGACAGAGAGAGAGAGAGGGAATGACCCAGTCCTGATTGCCCTCTGTATTCCTTCTCCTGGGGTCCTAAAGGAGAAGTGGTCTTCCCAAGGGCTGCCACCCAGTTCCTGAGCCCCACGGCCACTCACAGCGGTAGCCAGGAGGAAGTGGAAGGGCAGGAACTCAAGCCGTGTTACTCGGTCACAACGGCGGATACAGTGGAGCTCAATGCCCTGATTGTCATAGATGTGGAGCCAGCGGTTCTGAGCAACAGCAAGCAGTGCCTCAGAATGGAGAAACCTGGAGGAGAGAAAGAGTGGTTCAATTGGGAAATGAGGTCACAGGCTATCATTCTATCAGGGATGGACTGTCTCACCCCTACTGACTGCTGACAGTGAGGCCACTGACCGGATGTCCCGCACTGCCTCCATGACGTTGATCTCGCACATAAGCTTCTTTGTTACCCAATCAAGGGCAGCCACATGACCCCGACGCCCTCCAAAAGCCAGGTGTCTGTTGGAGGTGAGGGGCAAGCAGGGTGTTAAGGCAGTAGAGCACCAACTCAAACAACTTGAGGTCTGCCCCATGCCAGCCCTGCCTCTCCCTCTCCAGGTGGGCAGACAGATGTTGCTGTAGGTGCTCACCCTCACACCCAAGCAAATCGCAGGACTCTCACCTCATCAACAACCCAAACATACAGGGGGAACAGCTGAAATGGGCATGGCTGAAGTGGTTAAGGAAACACATTTTAGTTCAAGAGTCACTAGATTCAACCTTACCTCCCAGTTCGAGAGTAGTTTAGTCTGTAGGGTCCAAACTGCCGCAGATTCAAGTCAAAGTGCTGGGAAAGAGTGAAGAAAAAAAAGAATGAGTTCTCTGCAGTAACGCCTTCTTCTAGCCTCCATTCCTCTGTTGTCCTGCACCATCAATCAACCCTTTAGCTCCTTTATCTCCTCGCTCACCTTGGCTGCACTTGCAATGTCCACAGCCTCCACAATGTCAGCCTGGCATATCTTTGCTGTGTCTTCCCCATCCTCCCCTTCCAGAAACCTGAAAGCAAGGGTTAGGATGGCAGTAAAGTTTCCCAATATGAAGCAAGTGTACCAACATAAAAACGAGAAATGAGAGTCCTATAAAGCAGGGAATGCGGGGGGCCAGATTAGGGCTCACTCACCCAGGTTCCTCAGCAAGCAGCAGCTCAGAACGAGCAGCTTTGATACTTGTTTCCTCTTCCTCAGCTTCAGCCACCTCAAGTCGGCTTCGAGTTTTGGCTTTAGACTGTGGTAGCTATAACATTGTTGGTAGGCAAAAGTGGCAAAAGAACCACAGGATAGGTGGGGTCACAGGAGGGCTACCTGGCCCAGCCTCCATCCAAATCACTGACACTCCCGGCCTCCAACACTTCCCAACTCTCCAGCTGGACCTCACCTTTCGGGATTTGTCAATGCGACAGAACTTCTGGACCACCTCCACAGGGACGGGGGCGGGGCCTGGGAATGGGTCCTGGGCCTAGGGGAAGGAAGGACGCAATTAGCAGACAGCCTTAAATTGACCCCAACCCTTTCACTCTCAAAGTACAAAGCGACCTGCCTCGCCACCCATTAGGTCCCACGCTTACCCCGGACAAGCTCCGCTGGGACTCCGGATTCTTCCATTCTCGGGGTTTCTTCTGGACCTGAGGCTTCTTGGAGATCCCAGACTTCTTTAAGATGTGAGTACTTTTTGCTCCCTGGGGACGGAGCTCCCGATTCTTCTTCTTACGAGGAGGCCCTGGAAAGGCTCCGGCTGTGGTCGGAACGGTCTCTTCCTCCCAGTATCGCCGCGGTTTCTACGGGCAGATCAGGAGCCCTGATACTCCGCACCTACGCCACGCCCCCCGACTCCGCAGCTAAAAACTTCCTTTCCCACCCAGAGAGGCCTTTACCTTTCTCTTGGTCTGAAGTTTGTCCTTCTTGGGCGGGACACCCCTCCCCGGCTTGGGGGCTGTCTCCATCTCGCCCACCGGAACGGCTTTCCACGTGCAAAACTCCTCTCAGCTGCCCCACAGTCGGCTTGAAAACTCCCGGAAGCCCTCTGTCCTTCATCCAATCAGCAGCGTACCAAATTGAAGCTCTCTTAACGCCATCTTGAGTGAGGGCACGCTCTCTATTTAGAGGGGCAGAACAGCTCTTGGCACCTTGTCGCACTTTAAAAAAAAAAAAAAAAAAGGGCAGGTCCGGGACCAGGGACTAAGTAGCGGTGCGATTTCTTTTTCCGGATTAGTTTCCCCGTCTTGCCTAAAAATGTCCGAGTCTAGTCTTTTTAGCAGAACGCCATTCACTAAACATGTCAGAACTACACTTCCCAACAAGGGTCAGAAATAAACTTCCGGCACAGTCTTTTCCCAGCATTCTTTGTTTACTTCCGGGTTTATTACTACTAAAGGGAGAACGTGAGTAGGTTAGGATTTCGGTTGAGGGGCTCCGGGTTTCGTGTTTCGCCCGTCATCTCCTGGGAACAGGGTGGAGTCGATATCCGGAACGTGGGGAGTTTGCGGTCCCCCTCAGGGCTACCTGTCAAGAGTGCCATCATTTCCGCAGGCCAGATCAGAAAGGGGAGCTCAGGTACCTTCCAGAGAGTAAGATCCAGCGCCCTTCTCTCGCTCCCCTTAAGCTTTCATCCCCGCCATGGCGGAGCTGATTCAAAAGAAGCTGCAAGGAGAAGTGGAGAAATATCAACAGCTACAGAAGGGTAAGGGAGCAGGGTCAGTGTGGCCTCGCCCGATGCACTCACAAGCCAAAACCATACCAAGATAAGGTCTGTTGCCCCATCTGCGTGCCTTCGCGTGCGGAGACTTTCCCTCATCAGTATTCGTCCCTATTCACTGACCCGCTGCCCCCATCCTTGTCTACTTCCTCAGATCCATTTTCTCCTGACTAGGATTGTGGGGATAGGTGGCACATTTGATGTTTCTAATCTTGCCTTTTCTGTCATCCCCAGACTTGAGTAAATCCATGTCGGGGAGGCAGAAACTTGAAGCACAACTAACAGAAAATAATATCGTGAAAGAGGTGAGGGACTGGGATTTGTGTGGCGAGGAGGGGCCTGTACTGGCCATGGTTCTGATTACATATGTCCCGTCCCTCCATCAGGAACTGGCCCTGTTGGATGGGTCCAACGTGGTCTTTAAACTTCTGGGTCCGGTGCTGGTCAAACAGGAGCTGGGAGAGGCTCGGGCCACGGTGGGGAAGAGGCTGGACTATATTACAGCTGAAATGTGAGTCTAACTGAACCATTGGAGTAGAGGTGTTGAGGAACCATTGCAGAACAGCTCTCCATAGTCGCCCCTAGTCCTCCAGTTCCTCCAAACCCCTTCCAACACCCCTTCTGCGCCCTTACCTAGATCTCAAGAAAGAGATGGAAATCTTTCTTGAGTTTAGCACCCTCCATAGTAAGTCCCACTAATTTCTCCTTTTCTGCTTGTCTCTCCTCAGTAAGCGATACGAATCCCAGCTCCGGGATCTTGAGCGGCAGTCAGAGCAACAGAGAGAGACCCTTGCTCAGCTGCAGCAGGAGTTCCAGCGGGCCCAGGCAGCAAAGGCAGGGGCTCCTGGCAAGGCCTGACCCCATGGTGGGGGAAGGGGAGCGGAGGGAATGAGGCAGCTCTAAGATCTATATTGTAGCTAATAAAATGTAAAAACACCTGCCTCTGTTTCCTGGTCAGGCATATCCCCACAGCCCCTTCCACCTTAACACACACCACCTATATTACTCCCTCAGGTCCAAACTCTTGCACTTGAAATCTCTCTGTGGCACAGTGTTCTTTCTTTCTTGAAAGTGAAATCCCAAATGTCCTCAAACCTTCTTTTAACTCTCCCTCATCTTGGTTGGCATGATTCTTTTAGAGGGGCATTTACAACAGGTCATATTGTGAGGAATGTCAGTTTAATTGAAGAATACATTTCTCTAACATGAGGCCCCTAGATGAAATGTGGTTACCCTCCTTGCCAGCAGTCCTGACATCTCTATTAGTACTTTTCAGCCTCTGTCTTTCTAGAATTTGCTTGAATGTAGCTTAAACTGACTTAAAATCCTAGCATGTAATGCTTTATGGTGTTATAAGTCCTCCCAAGTTTATATGTTGTCCATAAGGTTGTTCTGCCATTTCTTTGTCCTAAAATTGTTTTATACACATTTGCAGCATTGTTCTGAGGAAACTGTTCACCAAGTACCTCGCTTTTTGCTCTGTTTATGGGGATAGAAAACACTGTGCCCCTTCCTGCTCAATGGCATCTACCTTCAGCCAGTTCCCCACCCCACTCATAGCAGCCAGTTGATACACACTGCAAGGACAGGGGAGTAGAATTCAGGTAGTGTTTTGGTTTATTATCTTAGTGTTGTCACAGTGATAGAAACCCCAGAGTGGGAAGAGGAACTCCTGCAAGGACCTACTTTTTGCCATCCCCATCTGCCTGGGGCTCAGAGCCTTGAGGCGTTTGCTTGGCCCTTCACATTAGGATATGGCCAAGAATCAGAAACTGATGCCTTTTTCCAACACTACCTGTGTGCTGTGCTGGTGGAAGATGGGAAGCTATACACAGGTATCCAAGTTGGTTATAAAATTACCAGTTCCCACAGGGCTGGATTTCTCAGCTGTCTGGTAAACCAGTGGCACTTCACTGCCCCAGGGTGGCTGGCCACCTTTCTGAATTTCTGTCTCATTGTGAAACAACAGCCACCATTCAGGATGGCTACCCACATCTGGTATGAACACCATGACTTCTGTAAGCCAGTGAGGCTTCCTCCTCAGAACAGTGCCCGTGCAATCTTCCTCCCTGTGGCCTTGATCCTGGGAAAGGAGCCCCCTCCTCCCTCACTTGGAGGAGTCCCTGAGGCAGATGGGCCACTGGTGCCAGGTATAGCAGTAGAGGACCTTCGCCGCTGCCGCAGGAGGAAATCATGTGAAGCTCCATCCATGGCATAGAATACGTTAGCCGAGGCTGGGATAGTCAGCTCTGTAGGTTCGGAGGGTGGATATCAAGCACAAACACAGTCGTTCCCCCCCACAGCCGCCCAGGTGTGGAAGCAGTCCACTCTCCTCCTGAGTGCCTTTCCCTCATGGCCTCTGACCTCGCTCCCCTGGTAGCAGTTGTACCAGCTCATACTCTGAAGCCACTGCAGAGTCACGATTGTTTTTCTTAAGGACACGACTGACGACACTTGGAGCCTTGTCCTGGCTTGTCACCTGGCAGGACAGGAGACCAAAAGAGCAATCAATCAGCCATGATTTCCCATCTTCTACCCTTAGCCACTGGACCCAACCACAAAAGGTTACTGTGTCCAAGGCTTTAAAATGAACAGGGAAACTCAGTATGGTAGCTTCCTATACCCTATAAGCCAGCCCACATGGTACCCAGTGAAACAGCTCCTTCCCTGTGGGGAAACTGCTGTTGATTCTGACATCTTACTATGACCACCAAAAGTTTAAGGTGCAGCAACTAATGCAAAACAGCCATCAAAATAAAACAAATTTCAGCTTGTATTGAAGACTGGAGTTTAGAAGATAAAAAATATAACTGCCAAAACCAAAGGTCAAAATTAAAACTACATTCAATTCCATTTGGCTGCCCAAACCTCCAACAACATTTATAGTCCAACAAGACACCATCCTTCACCCCAACTCCATCCCAAGGCTCCCTCACCAAAATGCTCTTATAGACACTGCCATCTTCCCCCAGCTCCATCTGGACTCGGATGATTCGGCAATCAGAGGCCCCTGGCCCAGATCCCACTGGCCCAGATCCCCCTCCCCCATATCCAGTCCCCCCCGAGGCCCCTTCTGCACCCCCACTCAGCGGGGAGCCACAGGAGGCTGAGCGGCGGTGACCTCGAGAAGGCCTAGGGGAGGAGGCTGGCGGGGAGAGGTGGCTGGGGTCAGCCGAACTGTGCAGGGATGGACTGCTTTCCAGGGCAGAGTCTAGTGACGAGACAGATGGCCACTTCATGTGCTAGGAACAAACAACATGAGGGGACTGGCATGAAGGCAGGGAGGTTAAAGAAGAAACATTTACAGAGTGAGGGTCAGCATCAACGTCAGAGGTCAGGAGCCGAGCTCACCTGGGCCAGCCGAGTCAGCAGGGGAGCAGGAGTTGCAGGCACCTCGTCTCCCCCTATACTGGACCGGTCGCAGGACACAAGCGGGGTAGGGACTCCAACAGAGCCCAGAACCCTGCAGTGGCACGAGATTGGGAGGATCAGAAGAGGAGTGGAAGTCCCAAAAAACCACCCCCCAGCCAGTGAATCTCTCACTCTGTCCACTGCGAGATGACCAGCGTTGGCCGAAGCACCCGTGGGGCAGGAGGGTCACTGGAACCAGGTGGCTCCACCTCACAGGACACACGATGGCTGGGTTGGGGGGCAATAGGCAGAGCTCAGAACATGACAGCAATCCCCCACACATGTCCAGAGTCCTGGAGTCCCAACCTCAGCCACCAGTCACCTTTGAGCTTCTGTAAGTGGCCGGAGCCCCTGTAGCCACCGCTGGATATCATGGTCAGGTTGGAGGTTATAGCCACGACATTCATTCTGGAGCCGTCGCAACTCAGAAAGGACTGCAAACTCCTGGGAAGGAGCCCTCAAACTGCAGGAGCCAAAACTCAGGGACCCCTGACTTTTCCCCCTCCCCTTCTTGGGACAGGGATAAGGAAGTCCAGCATCCAGCCCAGGCACTCCGCTCACCTTCCTCCGCTTGTCAAAATTGATGTATCCATTCTGCAAGGAAAACGGGGATGGGGTGAAATTCTAACCCTACCTTCCAGACCACAGAGAGAATATATCCCCTCTCTTAAACACACAGCCACATTCAATCACAACCACTTCCCTGCAGCCTCTGACTCTTCCTTCCCTTCCCTCCCCCCTCAATCTATAATGCCCTAAGCACTCCACTCGACCCTTTAAATTGAGTATCTCAGGTAGACAACAAATCTGCTTTGCAGATGAGAAGACTGGATAGGATCCCATTGGATAGGATTCCTTATCCAGAGAGGATGAGGAACTTGCCCAAGGTCTCCGTATTTGTTTACTTGACAAACTCTAGCAATAGAGCAGGAGCCCATCGCAAAACATAGACGTGCTTACGTTTCAGGCGTGTTCTGAGCATTTGACAAATACAAATTCATTTAACCCCCATAATAACAGATTGATGTAGATGCTATTTCTAGTTTCCCATTTACAGATCACCGAGGCAACTTGGCACAGTAACAGATCTGGCTTTGACTCCAGAGTCCCACACTCAGCTATTGATAGCCCTTTGCAAGGGGGGGTCTGTGTGACCCTGCAACCCACTTGTTACATCTTCGCAGTGACACACACACTGGCATGCACACACAGCTGTCTGGTAAACCAGTGGCACTTTGCAGTGACACACACACACCACTGACCTCCAGCTCATCCTTGGAGGCTGCATCCAGCATCACAAGGTCCTTCAGGAAGGTACCAAGGTATGGGACCACACCCTGAGGTAAAGGGTCAGGATCAGACATGCCTGCCATTGATGTGAGGGCCCTCCATCCCTCCACACTTGCCGTCTCCACTGCCTCAGAAAACAGATTTCATTCTCCTCATCCCTCTGTGTCTCCCTTTCCCATCCTTCAGGCTGCTCCCCCCAAACACGCTCCTCACTCCTTCACAATCACCACCCCCAAGCCCACCAGCCCACTAGTCACTCACCCCACCCCGAGAGCCAGACCTCGGGGCCTTCTTGGAATGTGGCTCCAGAGGAGACTGCAGCTTCACCTCCTGGTGGTGACAAAATAAAGAGACATGGGGAGCAGTAGGGAGCAGGGAGAGGTGGGAATGCCAGAAACTAGGCTCTCACCTGCACGAGCAGCTCCCGGCTCTGGGAATAATTATCCTTCTCAGAGAAAATCTGACAGAGGCTGGAAAAGACTCGGAGGCTGTCTCTGGGGAAGGGAGAAGAATGGCCCTAAGGACAGGCCTGACTCTGTCACCCCCTCTTCCCCGCCCTCTGAGGAACCCCCACCCCAGTCCAGTGCCTCGGTCTCCCCACCTGGTTGCTTCCCCCCAGGCTGCCCGAAGCCTGTGGATGGGGCTGGACTGCAGGGCGGACACCACAGCATACACTGAAGAGAAGTTTCGGAGCAGCCGGCACTCCTGTTGGGGTCAAAGAGGAGAGCTAAGGCTATGGGAGCCCTCTCCATGCCACCTTGGCCAACCATAGGGCAATCCTATCTCTCACCTCTGCCACACGGATCCACTTCTCCAGGAGCCGGGCCCTCTGTGGGGGACGGAGTGGCCGTATGGTCACCTCCCCAGGCCCCTCTCCAGTGGCGGTGGCCCCCAGGACAGAACTAACCACTGCCCCTGCCACCTTGTTGAACTGTGTGATAGTAGCTCGGACAGATGGGCAGAGGTGAGAATGTCCTGGCCGGTCTCTGTGACCCCACAGGCCTCCCAGGCACTGAGAGGGGATCAAATTGAGAAACAGCTCCTGCAGGGTAGAAGTCAGAGGTTAAAATTAATAGTCAAGTGAGGTCAGCCTTCCAATATCAGGGATCTGAGGATCTCAGGTGGCCAAGGAACTAGAGGGGCATAGGGTTTGAAGGGTAACAACCAAAGGGAAAAGGGGAAAGTCAAAATGGAAGGTGAAACAGGTTAGGAGGTGGATCAGGAAGGGGTGGAAGCAAGGAAAGGATCTGGAGTCAGGAGAGGTTAGTAGGGGGTCAGGGGTTACAGGGGTCAGAGGTCAGGGTCTCACCGCATCTAGCAGGGTCAGCTGTTCGGCCAAGTGGTCAGCGAGGAACACCAGGACATCCGTGGGGTCAGCAGGGGGATCGCCGGGGAGGGCCAGGGACTTAGGAAGGTCGGGGGCCTGGGGGTCCACCCGGGACCGGAGGTTGCGGATGAGGTCAGCGCTGCCCCCCCCAACACCCTTCCCTGCTGCATACCCTGTCTGAAGTAAGAAGCTCTCAAGGCGGTCAAGCTGACCCTTGGCCTCAGAGCCAAAATCCTCAGGGTGAGAGGCCAGCCAAGTTGACAGTACAGAGATGGCTACCCTGGGAGAAGGGGAATCAGCCAAAGGTGAGAGGTAAAGCTGCAGCCTGGAGAGAGGGGACTGTGAGGTTAAGAAGCAGAGGTCACTCACTCTGTTGTCCTCTCTAGTTCATCGGGAGGATGAGATTCAAGGGCTTCCAGCCTGAGGGGTAGAAGAGAATTTATCTGTCTATTTTTCCCAGTGGCCTTGCCTATTTTAGTGGGATGTTGGAGCTTTAGGAAATCCAGACAGACACTCCACGACCCTGGGTCCCTTATGACTCTGACCTGTCAGCCATAAGCCCTAGCAGGGCAGGCGTGGAGGTGAAGGCCCGGTGGGTGGCCAGGAAGGCTGACATGAAGGTCACGTCAGTCCCTGATGTCCGGCTATCCAGTAGGTATCTGACCAGGGCCTCCAGAGTGCCAGCTCGGAGCCGTCGGGAAGAACGCGGGGGAGGCATAGGGACCTGGAAGACACAGAGAGATGATCACCAACCCTTTCTCCCACTCCCCTAGATTTCTGAGGACAATCCCAGACCTAGAAGATGTTCCAGACTTATTTTGCTGATATTCAGAGAGGGCAAAAATCTTGGCCTATGTCACACAGCAGAGTCCAGAACTCCAGAACTCCAACCTAGCACTCTGGCCAGAAAGTCAGCCAGAGGAAGGGAAAGTGGGAGTGAAGGGTCAGAGATGAGAAGCTAAAGTCATGATCTCACCAAGGGATCAACAGGCCGATATTGGCGGCTTGTGACGGTAAACACGGCACCATCCTCCTCCTCATCCCAGACTGACACAGGGGCCTGGAGGAGCAAGGAAGGGGAAGTCAGACAGTTCCACACCACCCCCCACTGCCCTCAGCCCTCACCACAGGCCCTGCTCCTCCCTCTGTACCCCTCACCTGTGGTGGCAGGGGATAGTACCAGCGAGTGCGAGGAAGGGTGGGGGAGGCTGGTGACCCCAGGTCTCCCCCACTGGGGCCCAGACAGCCCCACCCCAGCCGCCTCAGGGCTTGGTGGAGTCGAAGGGGCTGCAGTGGAGGGGTGGATGGAGTACAGGAATCCTGATCCTGGAGACCCCCAAAGCCCCTTCCCCCCAGAGCTGAACCCACAAAAGACAGAGAAGCAGAATACAAAGGGCAGGAGAGGGAAGCCAGAGCCAGCAACCTGGAGTAGCTGAAACCTCAGTCCAGTCACTGCCGCATGCCCCGCCCCTCCCCACCAAGGACTAGACCAGCCCAGAGAATTAGTCCTTCTCAGGCCCCCTTTCACCCTGGTCCCTCGGGTAGCGCCTCCACTATCTCAGCCCTAAGGGACCCTCGAAGGTAGCAGCTCCAATCCTAGTACAGGAAGGAAAAGGGGAAGTGGGATGATGGGGGGGGGGGTAGACTCAGAGAATCACGTGGCTCCAGCCCCTCCCCCGACCGATCCCGAAAAACCAGCCCTGCCAGTCACCCTGCCCTCACCTAGTATCTGGACCTAGGAGTTTAGGGCCTCGGGGCCCCAAATCCAAATTGTGGCCCCTCCTGAGGCCCTAAATCCTGCTCCTGGCCACCACCATTAATCCCTAATGAAAACGGGTGACCATTCTGTTCTGGAACTGGCGACTTCCCGGCGTGGGGGCGGTGGGTAAGTGGGGGAAGGAGGGGTCATGAAATCTGAGGGTTCCCTCCCCAATCCCAGAGTCAGAGGAGCTGGTTACTGTGGAAACAAACCCCTCCCCACCAAACAAAAACAAGGAGGGAGACAGGGACCAAGACACAACTGCTCAGAGAGGCCGGCACACTCAGGCAGAGGCAGAGAGGGGCAGAGACCCGAAGGAACAGCCAGCCAGAAGTTCCAGGCAGGAACAGGGCAGGTTCCTGCAGGCAGGTCCCTGCGGGCAGGTCCTGAGTCACACTGACAGAGAACCACAGAGATGCCAGGACTCCCCGCAGCAGGGAAACGGACCGACACCCAGGGAGGCGCGAGAATAACTGAGGCTAGGAGGATGAGATGTAGGGACCCAGAGACAAGAGAAAGGTGGAGACTTCAGAAATGCATACGCCCCCTACCTCCCACCACCTGCGTCTCACCTCTTCTTCTTCTTCCTCCTCCTCTTCCTCCTGCCCCCCGCCCACGACCCGGCCACCCGGGCCCCCACCCTCTTCGGGGTCCCGGCTTCGGAAGCTGCTCAGTACGACTCCCCCGGGGGGGCTCGTGTCCAAAAGCAGCCGCAGGGGCCGCGGGAGCATGGCCGAGTGAAGGAATCAGCGGGGTCGGGCCATGGGGGCGCCTGGGGAGAGACGGGGTGGGGTGGGGGTGGAGAGTCAGGAGGGCGCGGGGGAGCGGGGCAGGGAAGGGACGGGGGTGGGTGTCAAGAAGACTGGAAGGGAGCTCTGCAGGAAAGCTGGGGGAAGGGGGCAACAATGGGGTGGAATGGGGGGCCTTTGGGTGCAGTTGGGGGAGGACGGGGTCACGAGTACGGGGACGCGCAGGGTCACAGGGTGCTCAGGCTCTGACCTGCTCGGGAGGGGTGGGGGCAGCGTGGGTCCTGGGCCGCTGTTGCTGTCGGTCTCCGGACCCGGACCGAGTCCCCTCCCCGGCTTTTCCGTACCCCTCGAAACCCCCCCGCCGGGCTCCTAGGCCTCCCGCCCTTTCCGCTCCCCCCCGCGTCCGCCCGCTCCGAGAGCAGGAGCCAAAAGGGGAAGGAAGTGAGGACAGGAGCCAGGGCCACGGACTAGGGGAGCGCTGGACGCTCAGGGGCCAGGACCCAGGAGCCCAAGTCCCTAGCTCCACTGTCCTCCGCCTCCGCACTCCGCGATTCTGGAGACCACGTCGCCCTGCACTGAATTGCAATAAAGATTCCTGTCTCCAGCCCGCGGGGAAAGGCAGGAGCAGAATTTGACATTCCCTTCCCCAACAAGAACACGACTAAAACTCCCGCGGTAAGCTTTTCAGGCGGAGAAAGAGCGGGTCACTCCACCCCGCGGGGTTATGCTCCCCACCCAACCCACGAATGTAGCGGACCGAAATCCCGGCCGGGTTTTCCGAAGGGCCCTCGGTTCCCGCCCCCGCGCCAGGGGGCGGGGCAGGAAGTACCCACTTCCGGTTCCAGATTCTGCGCTCTGGGGCTTCCGGCGCTGGGGCTGGGATCTCGGCTGGCTAGGTGTCGCCTCGCCGGTGGAGTCCCTACTGCTTGCGGACATCTCATGCGCCAGTAGTAGCGCCCGACGCCGAACTGTGTCGACGGGGCGTTCTGTGAGGGATTCAGGGTCACTCTGGAAGGGACCAGAAGTGATTGGAAGATTTATTCAGGTTGGAAAGGGGTTGGAATGAGAGACCCGGTTGAAAGCATTGGGACACAATTTTATTCCCACACGATTAAACCCGTTACGCCGTCGGTCTGTCCGACCGTCCTGACTCGGACGTCCGTAAGCTGCGCCGCCGCTTCCTTCGTCAACGTCCAGCAGCTATCTGATGAGCGCCCTCCAGTGGGCGTTAGCCCCGGCGCGGGGCTTACAGCGGTGGACAGATAGGCGGGTCCCAGTCCTCGAGGAGCGCACGGTCCACGGGGAGACAGGCATTTAACGACGACTCACACGATCGCTTAAATACAACTGGTGAGCCGCACAGGAGGAACGCGCGGCAGCCTGCGGGGAATGACGAGGCTGACCTGGTCTGCGATTCAGCGAGGGCAAGGGTAGAACCAGGCAGAGGGAACAAGAGGGCTGGGACCTGGAGGTGGGCGGGAGGCGTTTGCTTCATTGGAGGAAAGGAATAATTCTCTGTGTGATGAGCGTCGAGAGGAGGGCTGGGGAGCACCATCTAGGGCTGGAGAATTAAGCAGTGGCGCCAGTGCGGGGGACTTGTAAGCCAGGGCAAGAAGAATGGATTTGGCCCTAGAGCACCGGTTCTCCCAGTATAGCCTCGGCCTTACAGGTCGCTGAGACTGTCCGGGGGTATGCGAGATTAAGACTTTTTTTTTTTTTTTTTTTTTTAAGAAGGGGTTTCACCATGATGGCCAGGCTGGTCTTGAACTCCTGACCTCAGGTGATCCACCCACCTCGGCCTCCCAAAGTGCTAGGATTACAGGCGTGAACCACCGCGCCTGGCCTCCCTTGATGATTTTTAAGAGGTCCTGAAAGAAAAAAATCTTAAGAACCACTGCCCTAGAGCTCCAAGAAGGAGAATGCCATAAGGTTTGTGTTTTTCAAAAAAGCATTTCCCGGGCCGCGTGTGGTGGCTCATGCCTGTAATTCCACTTTGGAGGCCCAGAGGGGTAGATCACCTAAAGTCAGGAGTCTAAGACCAGCCTGGCCAACATGGCAAAACCCCATCTCTACTAAAAATCCAAAAATTAGCTGGTGTTGTGGCGTGTGCCTGTAATCCCAGCTACTTAAGAGGCAGGAGAATCGCTTGAACCCAGGAGGTGGAAGTTGCAGTGAGCGGAGATTGCTCCACTGCACTCCAGCCTGGGCAACTCAAGACTTCATCTCAAAAAAAAAAAATTATTTCCCCCTTGACAAGTTAAAAAAAAAAAGCATTCCAGTCACTCAGTGGAGGAAGATTGGAGGGAATAGGAGCAGATGACAGGTATTATTTTGGGGAGCTACTGCAGAAGCTTGGGCCAGAGTTGATAGTGGCTTCCACAGGATGGTGGTGAGTGCCCTCACTCTGCTTTCTGCAAGAGAAGAAGGTGGTGAGGAATTCAGGATATTAGAAGGTAGTTGAGATGCACATGGTCAGTTCAGAGACTGACAGAAAATGTTAGCCTCATTCCATGGGCACAGATGATGGGAGAAGGATAGGCTAACATTTTCTGTATTTTCTGCCTTCCAGACACTGTGTTGAGTGCTCTGTCTCCTGCATCTTCTAAAGGAGACGCACTGTCTTCTTTAATCCTCCTGACAGTCCTCTCAGGCTCTGCTGTCCAATATGGCAGCCACTACCCACATTTCGCTATTAAACATTTGTGATGAGTCCAGACTAAGATGTGCTGACTGTTTAAATACCTGCTTTTGAAGATTTAGGATGGAAAAAAGACTGCAATTTCTTTTTATTTTTCTTTTCTTTTTTTGTTGAGACAGGGTCTCACTGTCACCCAAGCTGGAGTACAGTGGCACAGTCTTGGCTCATTGCAGCCTCGACCTGGATTCAAGTGATCCTTCTGCCACAGCTCCCGAAGTACAAGTGTGTGCCACCACACCCAGCTAATTTGGTTTTTTTTGAGATGGAGTCTCGCTCTGTTGCCCAGGCTGGAGTGCAGTGGTGCAATCTCGGCTCACTGCAACCTCCATCTCCCAGGCTCAAGCAATTCTCCTGCCTCAGCCTCCTGAGTAGCTGGGATTACAGGTGCACAACACCATACCTGGCTAATTTTTTTGTATTTTTAGTAGAGACGGGAGTTCACCATGTTGGTCAAGCTGGTCTCGAACTCCTGACCTCAAGTGATCCGCCCGCCTCAGCCTCCTGAAGTGCTGGGATTATAGGCGTGAACCAACATGACTGGTCAAGATTTTTTTTTTTTTGGAGACAGAGTTTCACTTTTGTTGCCCAGCCTGGAGTGTGGTGCTAAGATCTGGGCTCAGCACAACCTACGCCTCCCAAGTTCAAGCGATTCTCCTACCTCAGCCTCTGGAGTAGCTGGGATTATACACATGCACCACCATGCCCAGCTAATTTTGTATTTTTAGTAGATATGGGGTTTCTGCATGTTGTTCAGGCTAGTCCTGAACTCCCAACCTCAGGTGATCCTGAGACCTGCCTTGGCCTCCTAAAGTGTTGGGATTACAGGCGTGAGCCACCGTGCCTGGCCTGTAATTTCTTATATTGTTTACATGTCGAAGGAATATTTTGGGTGTACAGGTTGAGCACCACCAATCCAAAAATCTAAAATCTGAAATGTTCTAAAACATGAAATTTTTTTAGTGCCAACATGATGCCACAAGTGGAAAATTCCACACCTGCCCTCATATGATGGGTCACATATATTATTAAAAATACTGTGTTTGTTTACATTGTGTTAAAAAACAAAAAAATATTGTGGCCGGGTGCGGTGGCTTATGCCTGTAATCCCAGTACTTTGGAAGGCCAGGCAGTTGGATCACCTAAGGTCAGGAGTTTGAGACCAGCCTGATCAACATGGCAAAACTCTGTCTCTACTAAAAATGCGAAAAATTCGCTGGGCGTCTTGCTGCGTGCCCCAACTACTTGGGATGCCAAGGAAGAAGAATTGCTTGAAGGAGGCAGAGGTTGCAGTGAGCTGAGATCATGTCACTGCACTCCAGCCTGGTGCCTGGCGACACAGTAAGACTCTGTCTCAAAAAAAAAAAAAAAAAAAATTTAAAAAAAGTTGGGACAAGTCCTCCCCCCAATAATCCCACCCATTTTGGGAGGCAGAAGCCAGTGGATCATTTGAGGCCAGGAGTTTGAGACCAGCCCAGCCAACATGGTGAAACCCCGTCTCCACTAAAAATATAAAAATTAGCTGGATGTGGTGCCACATGCCCATAATCCCAGCTACTTGAGAGGCTGAGGCACAAGAATCACTTGAACCCAGGAGGTGGTGGTTGCAGTGACCTGAGATCGCGCCACTGCGCTACAGCCTGGCTGACAGAGCAAGGAAAAAAAGAACAAAAACTTCAGGCTATGTGTATAAGGCACATAGGAAACATAAATGAATTGTGTGTTTAGATTTGGGTCTGATCCAGAAGATATCTCATTATATATATATGCAAATATTCCAAAGTCTGAAAAAATCCAACATCCAAAAACACTTCTTTTTCTAAGCATTTCAGATAAGGGACCAGAATTATTAAATAAGGTATATTATTAAGTTAATTTTACCTGTTTCTGCTTATTTTTTAATGTGACTACCAGATTATTTAAATTTACATATGTGGCTTGCATTATCTTTTTAATGGACAGCACTGCCTACATAATTTTTTTTTAATCCCTACACCCAAGGAAACAGATATAGATTAAGTAGCATGCTCAAAGAGTCCTACAGTTAGGATATAGTGCCAGGTTTTAACCCAGATCAGTGTGAATTTCAAGCCTGGGTTCTGCCTACCACACCAGCAGCCTCCCTTCATGGGTTTTGAGTTAGGATGAGGAGATAAAATGACAAGGGAAAGACACAGAGATGTGGGGCACTGTACCTTCTCCTTTGCATCCTTGCAGGTGGACAGGTAGACAGCTGTGGGAAGAAATTGAGAAGGGATTGGATGGTAGAGTGGTACAGGGGGAGGGTGGAGGGATGGGTGTCAGGCTCCTTGGAGTAGGTGGGGAAAGTTCACCAGCCCCAGGTCATGGTCAGGGTGGGGCTCACACTCACCAGCCCAACACAGTGCCTTGATGAGCCCAAGCAGAAAAAAGGCAGACAGGAAGAGGCCTACGCTGTCCTCAAGGGAGGGCCCTGAGAGACCTGACAAGCAGAAGGGGTGAGAGTGAGCTCCTGTCTTCCCAGGTGCTGGCTCAGGCTCCTGGAGTTCCCAGCTCTTACCTGCTACCTCCAGGGTGACCTCAGCACTGCGCCCCGAGGCAGGCAGGCTGGAATGGTGGATTCGACAGGCATATCGTGTCCCATGCTGCTCAGTGGTGACTGGGGGCGGTTGCAAGTGCCCAGAGAGGCTGACAGAGCCATCAGAATGGTGGCGCAGGCCTGACAGCCACCTCTGCCCCTCGGCTTTCTGAGAGTGGCCCCCTGGGCCACCCCGGAGTTCCCACTCCACCTCCAGGCCTCCAGAAGGGTAGAAGTGTGACACAAGGCAGACCAACTCTGGGGGCGACTCCCCGGGGGCGGCCCATGCAAGGGGTGCTGGCATCAGGGACACTTTCGGGGGTTCTGAGGAAAGAGAAGGAAATGAGCATGGGGAAATCAGTCCATACTGTCCTCCCTAAAAGACCCTCAGTTTGCCTTCTGGTTTCCTCAGAGCTAAAGAAGGTTGGGTTTGTTCTCCTGCAATGGGGAACCCACTGTCTCTCCATTGGTGCAACACAGGAATACCCATGCCAAAGCCCCTCAAATTCCCAGGAACCTT